TCTTCCTTCATCTTTTTTAAAAGCGGGTGGTTTTTTTCCAAGCGCTTAAAATTATGGAAGTCGAGAATCTGAGATCCTCCTTCCAATTTTCTTCTTCAAATTTCACCCTTCGCCCCCGGTTTCTTGTACGCCCTGAAACTGTGAAATTTATGCCCTTCGATACGTAGAAACCGAACGGCTTGTTTTCTTCCTTGTTGCCTGATGGTGGTGAAAATTTGCTTATCGCACCTCCAATTCTTTTCAGTACCTACCCATCAGTTCATCTGTCGGACTGTACGTGTGTTTAGTTGCTGCAGGGTGGCTTGTATGTTATATATAACTTATATTGTATGTAACGTGGCTAAGCGCAGGACCCGTCTATAGCGCAAACGGCTAGATCACGAAGACGGGGGTTTTGTCCGGACGCCATTTAGCAGTTTTTGTCCGGATTGTACCCGGCGGTCCCGGCCTGACCTCAAATTTTGGAATTTTGTCCGGGCTGCTGGATTTGGGTAATTTTCACCGAAAATCCGTCCGGATAGGCGGATCTGGCCTGTCCAGAGGCTCCAGGCCAGCGCAAACAGTGTAGGGAGCCTTACAGAGCACATAGGAAGACACAAAAATTGATATTTAGATATATAATAAATAAGTTTTAACTTGAACCATAATCTAGTCTAAATTCTCGCTTGCACCGCCGCATTTTTTTTTGAGAGTTTTAGGGCTGTTGTGAGTTCCTTTTGGCCATCCTGCAACGCTCGATAACGGTCGACATCCACTGATGACAATTCAATGGAAGACACCCCCGACTGTGCAGGAGATAGCTTGGTGTCAATGAGGCGAAGAAACTGGAGCGACGATAGCATAAAATAAAATAAAAACAAATATATATCGTGCACACGGTGCACTATAGGAGACTTGAACTTTTGGCTACTGGAAAGCTGCACAAAGTGTTATACACAATTAGACTATTCACCATGGGACTTGATGTCCGGACTGCAGCCTGAGGGCATATAGACCTCTGGGGGATCTTGTCCGGTCCCAGGATCTGGCTAGTTTCGGGTTTTGACCACTTTCTGTCCGGATTGGCACCCGGCCGTTTTGCGAAAATTCAGAAAATTTGTCCGGATTGGGATCTAACCGTTTGCGCAATAGACGGAGGTCCTCTAAGCGCGGAACCTCTCTGTTACTATGAACAAACCAGCCGGAGTTGGATCAGAGTTGGATCATCACATCACCATACTATCACCATCATGCACAAGGTCGTAACCCGCCCATCTGAAACCCGAATGGGTCTCTTTGTAACTTGTTTCCCTTACTATCACTCGTAATAGGTTGGAAATCAGCCATTTTCCTTTTAGAAGTAGATACAATTGATCTCAGACTCAGTATTTCGGATCTCTTTGTTTTCCAAAACATATATATACGAGTAGAATTTCGACAGTAGTAGACTACAAGAAAAACAGGACCTCGCTATTCATCTTTCTCTTACTCTAGAAACATTAAACACTCTCTCTTACAACATCCTCTCAAGACTGAATCGTCTAAAACCGACGATTATTCGTCTACTTTTCAGGTAGTCTTGTTACTTTGGGTGTCTAACGCTTTCTGGACTCGTAGCTAATTACTTCCTTACAGTATACCCTGTTTTGTGAAGGATGAACCCTTCCTCGCCTAGCGATATCTTCTCTTCTCCCGGAACGTCGAACGAAGCGATCCGTCAACCTCCTCCTTCTCCTCATCCAGTCAACATTCAATCAAATCCTAACGTGGCTCAAGGTCCTTCGAGAAATATGACGCCTGCACTGTCCGAGTCCGATAAAGTTTTATCCCTTCAAGGACTTACCAGGCGCGCCGATTCGGTTCAATATAGCATTTCCCAAATTGAAAGTCAAATAGCTAAGATGAGCCAACAACTTGACGCCAGTAGAGGCACACCGCAGGAAGCACCATTGATGCTGAGCTTGGAAAAGCTAAATATAGACTTGGCTAAATCAAGAAATTATGTGCAATGGTCGACGCGCCAGGCAGGTATGCTCGCCGCCGAATTGTGCGTATTCAACTAATTCTGCCTTAATTTTCTACCGAAGCTCATTAATTTTTTACAGAAAGGAAAAAGGCGTGAAAGCTCTGAAGGACATCATCAGTCCTCTTGGCAAGACACGATTTGGCCGTGCATATAAAGAATTTTGTCAAGAAAGGGGTCTCAAGCTTCAAGTTGATGAGCGCCTTCAAGTTCTCACCATAGACAGCCAGACAATTGATTTGCACGCCTTGCATGGTCAAGTATTGTTAGAAGGTGGATTAAAAACCGTTGGTCCAATCAATTTTCTTCAATCAAATCGCATCTAACGGGTCGCTTGTGATAGATCGATGATAAAGACCTGTGGAATTTTATTGGCGCACGTCTGGGTCTTGCTCAATTTTATACGGAGAACGGACCTGCGAAATCTGAGCCTGGAGCTCAACAACTGGCACACATTTATAAGGAATATCTCTTCCAGTTCGACAACTTCTATGTGAGCCAAATAATGAAGCAAAGAATGAAAATGCAGCAGGCAGATGCAAGCTTACAAGCGGAAATGGCTCCATTCAACTGGTCTCCTGAACAGATGGTAGTCGTTATAAGCTTATCCTATATGTCAGCGCGGGATCTCCATGCCCACAACACACCCGAAAAAATGATTCAGTTCGTGGAAAATCACCGTGCGAGCCTACAACGGATGCTCGTACCAGGTCTGAACTACGGCATCAATCCTCTCGATAAGAAACGATTCGACCTTGCATATAAAGGCTATTATCAACGAAAGGGTCTCAACCTTGATACACGCCTTCTCATCATAGACGAGCAGACAGTTGATTTGCACGCCCTGCATGTTCAAGTATTTTCAGAAGGTGGATCAAAAAATGTCGGTCCAATCAATTTTCTTGAATCAAATCGCATCTAACGGGTCGCTTGTGAAAGATCGATGATAAAGGCATGTGGAATATTATTGGCGCGCGTCTGGGCCTTGCTCAATTTCATAGGACGGAGAACGAGCCTGCGAAATATGAGCCCAGGGCTCTACAACTGGCATTTATGTACATGGTATATCTCCGCCAGTTCGACAACCTTTATGTGAGCCGGACATTTGAGCAAAGAGCGAAAGCGAAGCTGGCAAATGCGAGCTTCCAAGCGACAATAGCTGCATTCGACTGGACTCCTAAACAGAAGAAAGCCGTTACTGCCTTATCCCATAGTATGTCAGCGCAGGATCTGCATGCCCAAAACATACCAGAAAACGTGGAAAATCCGTCTCAGGGAGGTTCACAGACGTCAGAGTAGGGAGGAATAGCAGAAAAGGCCGTATGCCAATCCGGACAGAATTTTAGCATTTTGGTGTTTTGGCCATGAGTCCAATCCGGACAGAAGTAGCCCAAAATTTAGATAGGATAACTATAAGTGTTTTTACCACCAATAAATGTGGGTGATGGCGATTTTGGGAATAAGATTATATTTTGATGTTCAGGTATGATAACAAGATAATCTAGTATAGGTTTTCTTGCTTGTGCGGAAGGCTTTCACGGGCGGTGCGATTTCCACAAAAGATCACACTTTGGGACCGAGCCAGTTGGCTGACCAACGGGTCATGTGATCCCAAGGCGTTCAGCTTTCAAATCAAAAATATGAAACTGAGGCGCCCGAGAAAGTCCTGAGCGTCTGGACAACTCGATTTTTTTGGCAGATGAATGCCGAAATTCAAACCGGCTGTACCAGACACTGAAGGGAGCAGGTGGGTGAGTCGAAAAATACTTTAAAGACGTTGAAGAGATATTTTTTTCGCGGCTGAACCAACTTTCAAGGTGAAGGCGGCAAGTGGCTTATCGATGAAGATTAAGGTTGTTTGTGTAAGTGAGGTTTAGAGTGCCATGATTGGTTCTGCCGCTTTGCCGTTATCTTATCCTAAGATGAGCCTGAAAGGCTCATCGCGGATTATGGCTGAAGTCTCCTTCCAGACAGCCATCTCCGAATTCCGGACATAAATAGTGTACTTAGTGGCAAAGCGAAGTTATAAATGGAAGTGTGGTTTCAATCATGGATATTTTTAAGTGGCCTGATATAACACGATTTCGGGCAACTTCAGCGCGGCGAGAAAGAATTTAACAGCTGCGTTGAAACTCTTTAGAAAGCGGAGTAGGGTGAATACTGTACTATACTGTACCATTTCGATCAATTCGGCCAGGGGGGACAGGGGACACAATGGACGGAATTTTATTTCCGGCCACCAGCCGGGGGACCGGGGACAATTACTGAAAAGTCAGCTAGGGTCAAATTCATCCAGGGGTCATATAATATTTGGCCAGCTAGAAATAGTTTTAACCCCAGCCACTCGGGAGGGGACAGGGGACAAGCGACCGATTTCGGCCACGTCCACAAGGCCGGGGACAGGGGACGGCCGAATTGATCGAAATGGTACAGTAGACTATGGATAGGGTTTTTGATGGTATACTGTGGTAATTATCTTATTTCCGTCCTGAATTCCATGTTTCGGGTGCTACAAAACATTCTGAGAGTCTCCTGGCGGCCAGAGGCGATTTTTTCGCCATTGGCAGGCTGTATCCACCAATTCGGACAAAATTTGGCCGCAAAATCCAAGTCCGAAAATTTTGGGCAAGGCCTTACAAAAATGGGTACCTAGCGTCCGGACAGAAGTCCCAATTGCTGGATACGGCCTTTTCTGCTATTGCCCGGGGTCTGAGAGCTGGTCTGAGTAGGGTAGACCGTTTAGTTCCCGATGCTCCAGCCTGAGGTATCGGACCATGCAATTCATCGAGACTGAGATCCTCCTTCTAATATTCTTCTTCAAAATTTCATCCTTGTTTCTTGTGCGCCCTGAAATTGAAATCTATGTTCTTCGATACGTACAAGCTGAATGACTGGTATAGTCATATAATTAATTATTGGACAGCCTGTCGATCAAATATCCCGATATCCCCATGCAAAACAAGGATGCCGCAATAACATTCAAAAATTAAAAATATTGCTGCCCCAGTGAGGCTCGAACTCACGACCTTCCGATAATCAGGCTAGCTAACAGTCGGACGCTGTAACCAACTCAGCCATGGGGCACATACGTTGCACTGGAATGAAGTCGTTTTGTTAGTCATCCCTTCTATGATTTTCTTTTTATCTCCGAGTGGCATCCTCTTTCGCAACGACCATGTCGTCTGCAACAACCACCCCACTCGCAATGACATCGGTTAAACGACCACGTACACCTTCTCAATCATCTACTTCGTCAAACTCATCTCCTACATCTGGTAGTACACATTCGTTGGGGTCGCCTTATAACAATCACCCACCACATAAATCCACGCGTATCGCTCCTAGTTCATCATCTCCCCGATCTATCGGTGGGACGTCTACATCTTCGGGTTCAACTGTTAAAGCGTCTACATTCGCCAGTGTTAATAGTGGTGGTGGCACGACTGCTTTACCAGTTACTCGACATCCTTTATTGTGTACACTTCCTCCGACATGTCATCGACATGCAACACCAATCGCTGATACGAATGATCTTGAAAGACATTATGCTACGTATCATGCTCATGTGTGTGGCGTGAAAGGCTGTGGATGTGTTTTTCCGGATGAGAGGTTGTTGGAATTGGTGAGTGGCTTGGGCGGTTATCGCGTGTCTTTTTTTTTTTTCTTTTCTGTGTGGTTCCTTGAGTTCGGTGCCGCTGCTTTTCATGTTTGTAGACATGATCCCGTATCAGATATCGAGTTATGTTTTCTTTTTTTTTCTTCTTTCTTTCAGAATATTGATAATACTTGGACGAGCACTGCTAACCAAAAATATCTTTCTTCTAGCACCAAACGGAATGCCACGACCCGATAGCATCTCTCCGTAAAGAACGTGGTGACAAAATTGTAAGTCTACCTCTTTGTTCTCGTCCTTATGAACTAACCATCCCAACTGCTAGTTTCAATGTCACCTTCCCTCTCCCACCTGCGGGCGCAACTTCCTAACCCCCAAAGCCCGAAGGCTACACCTTATCCAAGCACACGCGTTCCCCAAAGAATATTTCTTTGCGGTGACTAATAAAGGTGTCGGGGGGTTGTTGAAGAAGTGGGGTGAAGGGGCTAGTTTGATTAGGAAGGAATGGAAGGCGAGGGAAGAGAAGGATGAAGGGAAGGAGGGGAGAGGAGTAGGCGCGGTGGATATGAAGAGTCATAGAGTTGGTGTGAAGGATGGAATGGCTATTGATGATGACGAAGATGATGACAATGACGAAGACGATGAAGAGGAGGAAGAAGAGGAGGAACCCGACGATGTGGAAGCAACGCCTAGGATGCTACCCCGACGAACGATCGGCGTGCATTCTCCACAATCATCTTTGTCTTCGCATCCAGATACGCACGTCGCTAACCATAACCGTAATACTGATGGCAGTACCACTAACAACAACAACGACTTGACGAACTTGACTGAATCCCTCAACTCATTATCTCTGGTCCCAAACTCTGTCCGGTTTGGCAGAGGTGGGAAGAGTGGTGGGTTTATTCCCCGTGGGCAGGGCCGTGGTGGCGCTCGTGGCGGTGGGAGTCGTGGTGGAAAACACGGTAGGCCTGACAAAGGCAGCGTTGGGACTGGAGTGGATGTAATGGAGGTGGACGTTGTGCCATTAGGGCCTGGTGCCCTAGCTGTGCCAGGTCGTGGTAGGGTTTTCAGGGGACGAAATGGGTATTCTGTACGTGGGAATGGAAGAGGGAGACGTAGAGGGGGTGATCAGGCTATGGCGTGACGAGAGAGTAAAGCTAACAAAGTTCTGTTGATAAGATAACTGTTGCGTTTGTTTCCCCAATAAATGTTTCAGGGAGATGATAGTTGAAAGGAGATTTGGAAATTGTATTTCTAGATGACAAGATAGCGTAACTGGTATTGCAAAGTAACTTAGAATAATGACGACACCTGTCAACTTTAAGGCATGAGCGTAAAGACATCGAATTGTGAAAGCGTAAAATGAGACGAAAAGACAGGAATATAAACAAAGGATTTCTATTTACTTGGCACTACAAATCTAGGTACTTTGCACGCTTATTCTCCGAGACCTGAGTCTCACTTGAGCAAACCCACTGTCAAACCGCAGAAACGGAGTAGGTTGGACGGTCAACACTCAAGGTGAGACAGAACCATGTCGACCAAACTTAAAGCCGTAAGTAGACGGTTTTTTTAGCTCAACAGGTCTGCGAGTCCTGAAAGAGCCCGAGAAGTCGAAGTCTAAAGCCTAAACTTTCGACTTGCAGAAACCTAGTGCACAGGGCAACCAGTCGGTTGGCCGGACCAGGGTTTCACGGCTAAAAGCACGTTTAGCGTAGCGGGCGCTTTCGGGAAGAGTGTTTGTTCTTTTGGATACAATAGAACAGTAGATCTTTATGTTAAAGGTTTAGAGGAAAGTTGATAGTAGAGGGACTTTGTAAATAACCCCTTTGTTTGCGTTGTCAATAGAATAAGGCGCTACTCGGACTTTCCGAGTAGAATCCTATTCTATTGCACTCGCCGTCTTGGTTAGTAAGTGTACGTTCAGGAGTGAATGTGTTTGTTGTTCAAAAAAAGTAGCTACTTCTGCGTAGTAGCAGAAGTAGAGAACTCTGCTCCAAGTCGGCGCTTTTAAAGAATAAGATGCATAAATTTCATAAAAAAGTTGGGTGGGAGGACGAGGGAGTCACAGACCATGTCGACCAAACTTAAAGCCGTAAGTAGACGGTTTTTTTAGCTCAACAGGTCTGCGAGTCCTGAAAGAGCCCGAGAAGTCGAAGTCTAAAGCCTAAACTTTCGACTTGCAGAAACCTAGTGCACAGGGCAACCAGTCGGTTGGCCGGACCAGGGTTTCACGGCTAAAAGCACGTTTAGCGTAGCGGGCGCTTTCGGGAAGAGTGTTTGTTCTTTTGGATACA